TTGTGTTTTCTAATGCAAAATTGGAACATAATTACACCAATAAGCAGCAGAATAAAGCAATATCTATTGACAACAGTAATACTGACCACGAGGAGTTAGAGAGGGCTGTTTCTCTGCCTCCACCTGCTGTCGACTCCCAGCAGGGATGTTGTTGTAAATGCGCTTGTAGTGATTGTACACTGCAACCGCTAACACCTTTTTTGCGTAGGACTGGCCAACAACGAACTTGTCAAGGTAAGCATATATCTGGAAAGAAGCAGTAATTTATAGTTCATACCTGTATAAATGTATTATTGAGTATTACAATGTGTAACACTTCAATGAAAGTCATTTGAATGCATATTGACAACTGTGATTTTTGCTTCCATTTTTCACCTTCTTAGGGGGAGGGGGAGGTTTCTGTGCAAAGGCCAGTTTCACAGCCTCCGCAGCAGATTCTGGCTCTTTGTTTAGCCCCTTCTTAGAGTCCGCTTCAGACAGAACCACGAAAAAGTGATGGCATTTCTCACATTTGACAAATCGTGTTGATGCTACAAAAGAACAACACACAACACGTTTAATACCGAAACATTTTTAGAACTAGTCTGAAAGAATCTTTTGAGACATTTGTAGTTTAACAATTTTCCAAGGGTGCAGATCATTAAGCTGACTGACATGCAAACCAAAAATAACTGTTTAGTGCGAAAGGGTTGCTCATACTGCTGAAATGCACAATGGACAAAAATGGTCTGCTGTAGGTTTCTGTTGCATGAAAGTCCCACAGGGAAACCTCACTGATAAATGTAGATGATACGATGCTAAGTTGTGTTTTATTTCAAAATGAGTAACTTATGGTATGAAGACTAAATTCAATTTCGAAGTTTTGCTGTTTGACTGAGCTGCTAGAAGATAACTTGATTATCATGAGATGACAACACATTGCTGCGTCTATGCAGCAAATTTCCGCTACGGGGGTTTAATAAAGTTATATCATATCTTATCTTTGATTATCTGTGCATTAGTAGACTGACAAGATGGACTGCAGTTCCATGACACCAAAACCTCTGTTTACTTGCAGGTCTTTATTTTGACAAAGTGTGCCAAGAAATTACATACGGTGATTGTTTATGGTTTACTATTAATGTGCGATGTGCTTATTTCAGTCCTCCTTCACAGTCTGTACCACAAGAAAATGTGGAAGTTGGTTTAATGCTTTAATACAAAAATAAACCACATTTCAACACCATCATTGTCATTATTTAAAATGATAATTTGTCCATCTGCTGGGCACTATGTTGTACTTTCAGTTTTTTTTTTTTTATTAAAAATTCAAGTACAAAACAATGTCCTCTGTATTTCTCTTATTCCTCATCCGTGTTAAAGTTTCCACATGCCATTTGCATCCAAAATACACATCAGATCATATATTTTAGTAAACGGCTATTGAAAATGAATGCGTTTACTCACATACAAAGGTCTCTACATGTGTGCAGGGATCTCCACATTTAGGGCAGCGTAGCTGGCTTCCCCCCTTGCCTGACCCTCCAGAGCCAGACTGTCTCTTCGCTTCACTGATGCTTTTCTGTGTAAACAAGACTATGTCAGCGCAAGCATTAAATTACATTACTACCATGTACAAAGTCATGAGTAATACTACCATTGAAGAGAGCTACAAATGAGATTTATCCTCCCTGAGATTACCTTTCCACCATCACTTCCACTGTCCTTTGTTGTCCCATCTTTAGAGGCATAGCAGACAGCAGTCTCTGAAAACGACCTCACCCGTACCCGGGTAGGTACATGAGTTTCCCGAGATCCCTGACGACTCAGAGAAAACAACTGGATCCGGGAGCAGGACAATCCTGTAACAACAGGAACATCCCTTTTGATTCCTAAGAACAGTGACTTGTGAACACACATTTCAAACTAATGACATGTTATTTTCAGTGATTTTGTTTACCTATAAAACACATATCCTGAATCATAAATAGGCAACAAGCAAAATAATACAAATTTCATAACTGCTCCTACTTGTCATGCTACTAAAGCTGGAACAAGTAGATGATTATACATTAGTCAAATCAACAGAAAATGTATCTGCATGTATTTTAGAAATCGATTTTACTGACTTTTAAAGCAAAAATACCTAACATTTTATGGTTCCAGCAACTACAATGTGATGATTTGCTTATTCTCGTTGTCATATAGAAGACAAAATCGAGACATCTCAAGATGTCAATTTGGGATGTGAGAAACTGATGTCCATTTTTCACAATTTTGTTACACTTCAAAGACTAATCAATTAATTGAGAAAATAATCACACACATCAGATAAATCAAAGCAACTTAATCACTTTTGGATTTTTAAGCCAATATGCAGTTTAACACCGCATATTATCAAGAGCAACAGTTCATATTCAAGGGTATAAAGTCCATTTTATTTATATATGCTGTTGCAATATGCTATTGCCATTATGTGTTTTTGTCATATTACAAGTGTGAAGGTCTGACGGGCTGATGGATTAACAAAGTTAGCCTAACTAGCTAAGGCTGCTAAACGTTTTAAGTGACTTTTCCACCTACTGTTGACAATACAAAACTGTCATAACAAACAGCTATCTGGGTTACATGCTTAAGCAAATAACGTTAGCACAATGTCATGTAGGCAGGGTGTGTACTTTCCCTTTCTTACCTCTGTGAGCAGTGTTTAAGAACAACCTGGCAGCCGAAGTACAAGGACAGGACATGACTCTTCTTTTGGCTCAAAATCCTGAAATTGACGTTAAACATAAACTTAACACGGTGCACTGGGGGGGAGGGTTACAGTAGCATACAGCTAACGTTAACACATTTCATAACTTCAACGTCACTGTTAGCATTAGCAAAGCAGGTCACTTATACTGGTGAAGATGGACTATTGAATAAATCAATTTTTTTTTTTACACCACCTGAAACAAATTGATTTATTGGGCCATCGCGGCTAAGTACATCGTGCTATCTTGCGCTAGAATAATTAATTTCAATAATAACATAACGTAACGTAAACAGGTATCGTTAACTGTTAGCTACTTAAGCTAGGCCCAAGCCAGAGCTAACTAACACAGTTGCCAGTGGAAATGAAAAACAACCCCGGCTGGACTGACAGCCAAATGTTGCAGTGTGTTACCCGGTGTGGACACAAGTCAGGCCCGCAAGCTAACCTAACTAGCCATAATGCCTGAATTCTAACATTAGCTAAAGGGAAGGCAACATGTAACAAGCTTGCTAGTTTTACTCACAGGGCACGATGAAACCAGTCGCGTCTTGACAGCCTTTTCGGGTAAACAAATGTGCTAAGTCACTGCAGCTTTAACTCTCTTGTTTTACTTTGACGGGTCAGTGTGCCATGCTAATGTCACACTGCCTATTGCATAAAGTTGGAAGCGTTCACTCCTTTAGGCCGCTGTTTCCCAGGTGGGACACGACCCAAAGTGATGTAACAGTTAAGGCTTGCTGTTATGAACTAGGTCAGTTACTCAGCTAGCTAGCTAGCTAGCTGGCCTTCAGTCCCTCACGGTACAGTAGACAGCAGGACTGATTTAATCAGTGTCAACGGTCTAAGTAATATGGAGGCCCCCTAATATCGATGCAGGTCACAACTATCCAGATCTTTTGAGATCTACTAAACCACAGGAGGCGTTAACGAGGATGACAGCTGGTGTGTTCAAATGATTCACGTAATGTGCAGAATTGACAGAGGTATGGTGAAATCGTGTTGCGTTTGGGTGCTGTTCGTAAATGTGTAACGCTGTCTCGAACGGAAGAATAATAATGTTGAATTTCTGTTCGCAAAAATAAACAATGCTGTGTCATGATCAAGGGGGTAAGCCAGAGATCGGAAGTGAAGCCGACCAAAGCCTGCATGGACGGATCCATGTAGGTCCAAAAATGACCTCAAAACCCCGTGACACCCCCGTCGCACATAAGAGATGTAACGTTAACCGTATTGCTTAGATTATAAACTCATGGCAATCTAAAAAAAACTATTGTGAGTCCAGACAGTTGTGACGAGTCGTGTCGTTGTGTAGAGTTTTGCGATTTAAACATCTAAAATCTGAGGCGCAGCCTTGCTCTGCTTGGGACTGTGAGCTGTTGAAGTTAACGTGTGTGTGGATTTGTGGTGAGTGTTTTCCAGTTGGTTTCGGTTTCACATGCAACATGCAGTCTGTGCACTGTGTCGGTCAAACGGTCTAAAGGGGATTATTCCAGCGGAGCAATAAGTAGGCCTAATGCACAGCAGAGGGTAGACTTACAAGATCTTATGAATTCTCATCAAATGATGACGTTAGTCTCTTAATATTACGTCTTTTTTTCGACATGTCAGAGAACACAGATGTGGGAGAGATTCTGAATGTGCAGAAAGTTTTGAACATGAGTCGCAGCCTGGAGTACATTGCAGAATGATTTGAAACTCAATGAATTAATCTTGTTAAATGCTTTTAAATCCAAAATGAAAGAATTAGAGGCAGACTCCCTAATATGTTTTTTTTTTAATTGTGAAACTCAAAAATTACTCATTTGAAATGTAAGCTCACTATTCTTCTCTGTTTTCTGTACTTTGTACCTTTTGTGTTTTCATTTTATATGCTGCCGCCTGTCTTGGCTAGGTCACCCTTGCAAAGAGATTCTTAATCTCATTGGGACTCTCCTGGTTAAATAAAGGATATTTACAGGGTGTGATTGTGTAAAAAACAGAGGGGGGATGTTTAGTTTTTTTCATGATAATATGAAATGGTAGATCACTATATAAACAATTATGTCTTTGGTACAATGTCCAAATTTCCCACTAGCATCATGTTGTACAGTCAATGGTTGTGTGGCATACATCATTGTTATTTCTTGGAATCAACACATGTACATCAGTAGTCTGTAAAATTGATTTGACTAATGGGTCACACATTTCCTGCAAACAATATCCAGTGCGAACTATCAGCTAAACTTCCTCCTGTATCAAAAACGTGTTTCAAGAAATTCACATAAACTGAGATTTTAAAAATTATTTTATTGCTCATTTTTACAAGGTTTGTGGTTATTTTTAGGTCAGCTTGAGTTTAACTTTGCAGGTTTTTACACTGCTGTTGTCCCACATATACAAAAGCTTTTTGTTGGGATAATATGACAGCATAGCCAAGATGCCATTACCTGGCCTTAGATCAAAATTTACATCCAGAGGACTCTCTTTCTTTAAATCAAAAGCATATGTAACCTTCCTGTCTTTGTCATCTGTAAAATATAACACTCCACATACAATGAAAGCATTTCCTGCTTTAGTTGTTGGGTAGTGAGTGTTTATGACTGACTCCACAGAGAATGTGTCAGGGTTAAGCTTTGCAGCCATCGTATTATCTTCTGTATCTGATGCAAAAATTACCCACAGTCCATTTTCATCCACAGCAAACTTGAAGTATGTCTTTGAGTTGCGGAAAAGATAAGCCAGGCTGTGATATCTGCTGTGTGCCATGATCAGAGTGTTTGTTCTCCTGGTGTTCAGGTTAAATCTGTAAAATATTGATTAAGTTAAGATGCTGAGTCACACATCACATGACACAGACAGCAAAAAATGAAAAAATGTCAGTATGTGTAAGTAACTAAGGCAATAACAAAGTGTTATAGTTAACACAAACACTTACTTTATAAGTGTGTTTGATCCTGCGTTGTGAAAGTAAAGTGACAGCTTGTACACAACATGACCACAACCCTGGAAGAACCTGTTGATGTCTATAATTTTGTGGCCTGTATCCTGAAATGTTGAAATGTTCCTGTGCTCCTCGAAAAATCGACCTGGGGAAGAAAAATTTTGGTGTTCAATCCACAGTTACTCACTAATCTCTGCGAGTGAGTGATAGGTGTGAAGTTGCTGTAAAATAAATAAAATCACCTGAAAAATGATCGGCCAGCCAGTATCGACCGTCATCCAGCTGGGATGCATCGGACATCCAGGCTCCAAAAGTGCTTTGCATTGAGGTGGCTTTCTCTGAACATTTAATATTTCTAATTTTGCACTCTAAATGAAAGATATGTACTTCAGTATTAGAATACATTGATAGATAGATAGATAGATGGATAGATAGATAGATTTATTAACAAAATGTTCTAACCACTTCTGGTCCGTCTCACATTGGTTGTCACATTGATCTTGTTGGTGATCTGGAGTGGATATGAAGAGTCTAAAGAAAAAGGAAGATGAACAAATTTTCCAAAGATAGCGGATAGTTTATTCTGTTTGTAGCCACATATAACAGCTGATTAGTGGTGGTCCCAAATTACACCACTTGTAATGTATTTGTTGAACCTTGAATGTTTTTAAAGACAGTGAGCTTTGAGAGACAAGAGAAATCTTATAAACTAAATGTAAATATATCATAACTGAAAGCAAATATGGCACACAAGACTGTTTCCTACCACTTTTCATGGGTGTATCAATAATGTTTCCGCTGTTATTGACGCCGTCCCTCTTTTGAGCCAGGTCTATAGAAAGTGAGGCTGTACATGTATAGATAAATACATAGAGACACTAATGGTGTTATAGTGCAGCATTCATACAAAAGACAAAAGTAAATGTTTTTAGGTCATTGTTACTATTAGGTAGAGTGTTTCCTACCTGTTAATAATTGAATTGGTGCCTCTGTAGTATTCTCTGTTTTGGTATCATTTAAGGGGCCATGGCTATCGTCTTGATGAAATGATAAAGTTACTACTGAAAATAAAAACATTGTTTATATAATATGGTATAAGATTGCCCCGATTGTCGAATAAATCAGTAAAGAGGTCTGTCAATAAAGTCTTTCTCAAAATGATTGAAAACTAGATTTTATATTTGTGCCTTGACCAAATACAGTATATTCAATATGACTGTTTACCACTTTTCATGGATGTTTGATTAATGTTTCCGCTGCCATTGAAGTAATCACTGTTATGAATCCGGTCAGGAGAAAGTAGGGCTGTAGAATGAAACAAGACATTATGTAACATTTAACCAATGGTGTTGTAGGACAGCACCTTTAATTGGGATACACGTGACTTTTACTTATAATTCAAAACACATTTAATACCAGTAAATAATTTAATTGGTGCCTCTGTAAAATTCTCTGTGTTGGTATCATTCAAGGTGTCGTGGCTGTAGTCTGGATGAACTGATGCTAGGAAAGAAAAGGAAAAAAAAATCATATAATCAAAATTTGGTCTGACAATTAAGTCTTCCCACCACTAAACTGTTGCTTACCAGATTCCACTCTTTTGTCTAGAATTTTTTTAGAGTCAGTAACACTCTCTCTATCGGCAGGATGTGGTGATGGTGATTCTGCAGAAAGAAAGATGTGGATATCAGATGTTAAATATTTTCAGAACTTGACGTTAATTAATACACAAACAAACACATGCATGTCATAAAAATCATAAACCTTACATAATGTATTGCTGCGTATTAAAGCTTAAATTCAAGTTTACTCACAAGATTAATTCATATTTTCCCATTTGTTAAAAAATTATATTTTAAGAGATACATTGTAAATAGTCCTACATTGCAAACTATTGGTAAACTTTAACATTCACTTGACGCTACCACACTATAATTGTAACACAGTATTTCCTACCAGTTAATAATGTTATTGCTCCTTCTGTAACGTTCTCTTTGCTGGAGTCATTCAGGGTGTCATGGCTGTAGTCTTTATGAAATGATACTGACTCTAGAAAATTTAAAAAAGGTATTATTATTTTTCATATAATTAAAATACACAGTGCAATCTGCGTATCCTGCATTCAGTCTTGGTCCAGTAGCACTTTATTAAGAACCACTTGAAAGCCTTTTTATTTTTTAATTTATTTTTTTTTAATCTGACCTGGGATTTTGTGCTAATGCTGGGTTTGGATCATGGCAAAAGTAAATTTTACTTTACTGTTTCCAGTGAAGGAAAGTTTCAAAGTACATCTACTCAAGTACTGTACTTTTACTTTGCTTAAGTATATCAATTTTATTCTCTGCATACTTCTACTTGACTACATTCAAGAGGGACATTTTTTACTCCACTACATTTATTTCAGCTGTGGTTATGTGCTGAAGCTACTCAAACAGTTGCCTACCAGATTCCTTATCTGTGTCTTGAAGTTTCTCAGAGTCAGTGATATTTAAAACATCTCTGGCTTCATGAGCGGGATGTGGTGTTGGTAAAACTGTGGGGGGAAAGGTGAGATTTAATAAGATGTTGAGATGAAATCTGTGTGTACAAACATTTCATAAATGAGTCCCAGCATCTCCTACCTGTTGGTAAGTTAATTAGAGCCTCTGTAACAGTCTGTGAGCTGGTTTCAATCCTAGTGTCATTACCATAGTCTGGACGAGGTGACACTGACTCTGTAGAAAATAAAACTGAATTTGAATAACCATACATTTCTAAACTGAACCAGGCAGCATGTGGTCATATAGTACAGTCTAAAATCAAGCTGTGGAACAACTGTTGAACAAATAAAAATCAATAAAGAGGCCTGTCAACAAAGTTTTCCTGCCACTGAAAATAATTGATAACTAGATTTTATATTTGTGCCTTGACCAAATACAATTTATTCAATATGACTGTTTACCATTTTTTATGGATGTATCAATAATGTTTCCGCTACCATTGAAGGTGTCACTGTTCTGAATCCGGTCTGGAGAAAGTAGCACTGTAGAATGAAGTGAGACATTATGTAACATTTACAGATACTAATGGTGTTCTAGAGCAGCTCCTTTATTTGGGATACAAGTGACTTATAATTTAAAACACTGCTAATACCAGTTAATAATTTAATTGGTGCCTCTGTAACATTCTCTGTGTTGGTATCATTCAAGGTGTCGTGGCTGTAGTCTGGATGAACTGATACTGACTCTAGAAAAGAAAAGAAAAAAAGTACTGGTCACAAAATGTTTATTATCAAAATTAGGTCTGAAAATGAAGTCATCCCACCACTTAAAATGGTTGCTTACTAGATTCCACACTTGTGTCTACAAGTTTTTTAGTGTCAGTAATATTCAGTACGTCTCTGCTATCATCGGCTGGATGTGATGTTGGTGATTCTGCAGAAAGAAAGGTGGGTTTCAAATAGAGGGGTTGGTACAGGCATCATACATTGTTTACCATCACAAAACATAAAGATGAACTTCAAGCTCTAAGTCACAAACAGCCAGTTATTAATTCACATAATTGTAGTAAATTCTGAATTTCGTCTTCACCAGTCTGGTTAATTGTCGAGCTGCTGATGTTTTTTGTGTCAGTTTCATTGACGGCCTCCCGTGTCAGATTAGATGAATCTAAGTATGTAGAGTAAGAGAAGAAATGTAAGGTTTATTTTTGTGATGGTTTTTACTTTCAAACTTCAACTTCTAATCATAATAACAGTATATATAAATGTATATGAAATTCAACATAAACACCAATAGCCTAAAAATAATAATGAACTATTCAAAAGCCTCAGTATTTTTAGACTGAATATATTAAAATACAGAAAAAAAACCCTGCTCACCAGGTATCAGACGCAATAAAAAAAACATCCGCACACTCAAATCCGTACAGCCCGCAATCTGTTCTTGCCTTGAAGAAGGTCTCTGACTGAAAGCTCGCTAATTAAAATGATTTTTGCACAGATTTGAGTGAGCAGATTTTTTTTTTTTACATTGAGACTTAATACATTTAAATTTTTAGGCCAAATAAATTAATAAAGGATTCGTTATTTCCCAACCATTCCTGTTAGTGTGGAGATGCCTCTGACAAAACATTATGATCTTCATGTTGGGGAATAAAATTAACTAATAATATAATTAAACAGTTAACTGAAAAAACAAACATTTTTAAAAAGATACTTACTTTGGCATCTGGTCAAAAGTTTTGTCTAAGGGAGGGTGACTTTGGATTTATTATTGGGAAAATCCTGGCTACAACACATATGTGGTCAGTTTTAATTGGTTACAGTGGATTCTCATAGTGACCTGACAAATGTTACTCCACTGACCATAATGGTAGATGAAAATTGGTCACTACGGAAATGCATTATACAATAAACAACATGAATTAGACCATTATGAAGATACAAATTTAGACCATACGAGTCCACATATTTGAGTGTTTGATTTTGATGTGTCACACAGATAATAATTTATTAGGCCTCTGTCATTTCTGGTGGTTTTTGGCTGTGAAAATAAACATGCTGGTTCATTGTATATGATGACTCTGTAGAGACGTTCTCACCCATCAACATGTCGGTTTGATGCAGGTGTTCTCTATTTCTCACTTCATTAGAATACCAAACAGGACAGGGTGGACCCGGTGGGCCTGGTGGACCCGGTGGACCCCTTGGACCTTGAGGACCTTCAAATATACACATACAGTAGTCAGACATGTACAACGGACCTAATTAATAATACTGCTGGTTAATGACATTGGCACTTTACAACAGCAATAACAGAAAAACAGGAAAGCACAAATGTGGCCTACTATGTGAATTCTTGATATTATATTGTTCAGTATTGTACTGTGACTTAAAGGAAACTTTAAATGTGTGAAGTGTAGACATCTTGCTATTCTTGGAACCTCACCAGTAAGCTAAACAAGGAAAGTTGATCATGAAAATATGTTTAAAAAAACATATGTAACTTTTGTAAAATTAGGTGACAGAAGTGATCTTGAGTAAATACTAGATGCAGTCTGGCTGGCTCTCTCTGTTAATCACATTATTCATATCAGGTTTAAATATGTTGTCATCTCTTACCTTCAGTGAGAATGTCATTGGAGGTCTCGCCTTTCAGTTGGGGAGGCCCAGGGTCTCCTTTAGGTCCTGGTTCTCCTTTTTCACCAGGGGGACCTAGTCATTGACAGGTCTCGTCACTAGTTTAAACCACTTTGTATGCAGAGTTTCTCTGCGGCTCAAACTTTTCAGAATAACAACAACAAACCAGCATGATTCAGGTTTGATTAGTCCAGTTAACATTTTCCTACTAAAAAACTAAATCTTTCAGGCATTTCTAATGTGGCAGCTATAGACAAGTTCTCCTGCAGTGGGAGTATAGTGAGTGGGATTCTCGTGTTATGTAACGACGGCTGAACAAAGGACTGTTTGGAACTTGTAACTGACTTCTGTTTCTGAGTTTATTTGTCTGTTCTGGTGCACACTTCATTCAGGGTTAGGCGGAGGGGTTAGATTTCTAAGACATAACAGATGTCTCACCTCTTTTTCCGCGTCTCCCCTTAGGCCCAGGCACACCTTGTGGTCCCGGTGAACCAGCTCTGCCAGGCAAACCTAACAGGCAAAAGAACTGCGACTGTTCTATCAAATTCAACTTAGTTTAAGTAATTGATGCAGCAAATTAAAATGGCTGTTTTTACCTGGTGGTCCAGGTGGGCCTGGGAAGAAAATGAATATAAAATAGTTCACAAAATGAATAAAGCAGAAGCACCAGCAACAATACAAATCAAATTGCTGGAATGGAGAATATTTATGAAGTGCACCTGTTAAACACATTCCTCTGGAGCTATTACACATCTCTATGAAGGCTTTGACCTGAAAGAAAGAAAAGACAGTCAGTGCTCCAGCTTCTTGAATGTGAATGTTTGCTGGTTTTCTTAGTCTTCTACGATAGTAAATTGAATATCTTCAAGTTTGAGAATGTCGATCGGACAAAATATGCAGTTTGAAGACGTCAGTTTGTGCTCTGGGAACTTGTGTCAGGCATTTTTCGCAATTTCTTGACATTTCATTGCTTACACGATTAATCAGTTAATACAGAAAATGATCAGAAGATTAACTGATATGATGGCCTAACCGTTAGTTACTGCCCTAATTATTAAGCGAGCTGGCTAATAACAAAGCTAGACTTTATTTTAGTAATATTTAGTTATACTTGTGTATCACTGATAATTGTGCTGTCCTCTCTGTGAGAAAAATACAATAGCACCCTCTGAAGAAATGCCAGTTCCCAGCAGATGTGAGTACAGTTGAGGGAGGAGCAGGCAACAGTAACGCTCATCTGGTCAAAGTATTAAAACATATAGTGGAAAACCAAACTTTTTCTTAATCTGTCCAACAGACTGTTGCATTCTTTGCACTTGCACAGACATGCTTCTTATCTCAAAAGAGAAAGGAGAGGAAATGTTTCTATTAAAGACAACAGCAAGGAGCTGTTGATTGCTCCCCTGTTCTGTCTCATAAAAATATACTGAGAAAAATAATAAACCTCTCTTTTCAAATATTTTACAGTACAGTAAATAGTGTTCACAATTTCATGAAAGCCCATATTCAAGCATGTTGGTGTCTTACTGGAACCATGGAGTACGTCATCAGCATCAGCATATCCTTCTGGTCTTGGCTTTGCGTTGGTTCTCCGTCCCAGCTCCTTCTTCCGCGACGGAGCTTCTTCAGCTCTCCAGCTTCTCCGGGGTCCATGGGCAGGATGCCAGCCTGCAACCTGCAGCTCTGTGACAGCACCTGCAGCCGTGCGTCCAAGCTGATCAGCTCCTCCGTAAGCTCTTTCTGTCGAACCAGCAGGAACACTAAACCTGCTGAGCACAGGAACAGCAGCACACACATCCCCAGCAGCAGCCCTTTCCACGCCAGACAAACTTCACTCCTCTCCTTCATGTTTGTGCCCTGTTTCCTGGTCCTCAGCCGCAGAGTGATATGGGCTCTGAAATTCACAAGCACACACAGCACATATTTGAACACCTGCCAGAAAACAGATGAGACGTCAGAGGGAAACAACGCTGTAAGTTGTTGGAGAGGAATAAACATGTCAAAATCTGTCTGTGACAACAGGGGAACCACATGGTGAATTGCACAACAACCCGCATCTGGGAAACAGTTAACATCTAATGGGCCTACTTGATTCAGAAGCACCTAATGGACATATTTCCAGAATGACAGAATTATCCTGCAGACAATGTAGTTCTTCTCATCATTCTCGTGCTCTTCCTGTCAATATTGTCACCAGTCTGTCCTACACAAAATTACATGGAAGTGGAATAAATAAGTTGTGAACAAGGGGAACATTCTTTGGATCTACAAAGAGCTTTCAGTGTGCTTTCAGTAAATGACTGGGTGTGTGGATGTGTGTGTGTGGATGTGTGTGTGTGTACTGAAGTCTGCTGTTAATAAATGGGTTTTCATTGCATTATGCATTTCCAAATATGAAATAACAGTTGCACACTTTTTTCACCACTTGTGTTGCTGCACAAGAGACATTAAAGGCTCTCCTTTTCCAAAAAGTTCTAATTATCAAGTTTAGTCTATACTACAAAAAGGAAAAGCATGTTTCTCAGCCAACGTGGGATAAAAGCTGTCACCCAAACCCCAAAATGTGAGGCTAACATCTTGATCAATAGCTATTCATTGGCTTGAAGCTTGAAGGGCAGCTCTTTTTAGCACACAATCTCTGCATGAACATCAATTTCCTTTTTTAATTCCCCATCAATAGCAATTTTTTTGAAGTAGTGGAGCATTGACACCCAAAAATTTGAAGACTTTATGTTTTTAAATTATAAACATGATGTTTTGTCTTTCCCCTGTTTTCTTTTTTTTTTTTTGAACTGCTGAGTAAATCCTTGCTCCCTTTTCCACAGGTCAGTCTGACCCAGTGGATTCATTTCCCCATGAAAAGCCTCCTCGGTTGATGAATTAGACAGTGGGGGGTTCTTTCTTTTTGAACAAAGCTAAATGTGAACTGAGCCCATCTTAAAAAGTTAGTGCAGAGTACAGCCAATGAAAGACTTGCAGGTTTTGCAATCCTATGAATAAAAAACACATAAGCTGCTTTGTGTTTTAGACGTGCACTGTTATCTGGCCTTTTCAGTGTTCTGCCACGTAATGGTACTTGTACCCCAAAGTGGCCGTGTTTCTAAGCAACCAGAAAAGTGAAGGCTTAACCAGGAATTTATAAACACTTGAATCCCTCAGATTTTTTTGGTAGAAGAATGTTGATCATCTTTAAAACCAGTGGAGGAAGCGCAGCATCTCTTCAAACTGCACTCTAACTTGTCAGGAGTAGGAGAAGAAGAAACGTAAGTATTATTCTCTGATCGTTTGTTAATGGAGAATCTAATTATGCTTAAAAAACTCTCTATTTTTATTAATATATTATTAATATTAAGAATATAGAGACTGTGTTAGCTAGTGCACTGAAATGAAACATAACTTGTGAACTAAATGTGAACTGAACTCACATTTTCATTTTAATTCTTTTTCAGTCACTAATAATAATTGTGTAAATAGTCAAAGGGGGAAATACCTTTTCCAACTCACTCTACATCATATCTTGGCATAATACACTAATGTTACAATCATGATAAACTTGTAATAACATAACTGAAGAGGAAAATAATCCGTCAACCCTTAAACTGGCTGCAGTGAAATATTAGAAGTGAAATCTTATAACACTGTTGTGATACAAACAGCTGCCCAAACAGTTCATCATTAAGCTTTATGTGGGTGTATTTTGGTTGTAATGTGTGGCAGTGCTGAGTTATATCTCAGCACTGAAAGGACAAGAGAATTACAAGGGATGAAAAGGACAGCTGTCCACAGATTAAGGTTCTCATAGCTGGTTTTAACAAATGTATGAGTTTGTTTTGTCTGCTTGTTAAAGGAGACGGAAGCTTTGTGAGGACAGGTCACACACGATAAGCTTGCTCAGGTGTGTGTTCATGGCTGAAGTTATGAAGGGGATGCTGCCGCCGGAGACACTCACCGTCAGCCACATGGTGGTTGACACAGTGTCTGAAGTCACCGCCCTTCTGCTTCTGCTGATGCTACTGCTGCTCTTCACTGCCTGGAGCCAAACAAACCGGTCACATATACCAGGTAAGAGACTTCAGCTTCTGTTCTTTCTATTGTTTCTGTTCTTTCTTTCGAAGTTTACTTTGAATGGAGACAGTAACTTTTTCAGAATAGGGGCAGGGAATTTAGAGTAAATGTCACTGCATCACTGTCATGGCTCTCAGGCCATGACAAAAGAAGGGAAATACACACAGTTGTACTGGGAAGAACAAACGATCACATTTATTTAAAGAAAGAGTAACGGAAAACATGAAGTAAATGTATGAAAAGAGCAATCAGTAGATCAGTCATGTTAGTGAGTGGATGCGTGAAAGTAGAGTTAAATATCTAAACCAAACCAGACAAAGAAAACGTGGTGCAAGGGGAAGAGCTAGTGATGGGTTGAGAAAGACACAGGAGTGGGGTCAGCTGATCCTAAATGCATTCTGGATGGACTGGACTGGGACCTCTGTCTCTGACCTGTTTTTTCCTGCCAGGTCCTTCCTTCTTGGCAGGACTCGGCCCCATCCTCTCCTATGGCAGATTTATCTGGACTGGGATAGGAACAGCGTGCAACTACTATAACACCAAATATGGCACCATTGTCCGCGTCTGGATTAACGGCGAGGAGACCATCATTCTGAGCAAGTAAGTCTTTTGAGATGAAACTCTTTATGCTGACAGTTTACCCCATGAATCTGTAATAAGTCAATGTCTGGCTACTCTTGTAGGTCTTCAGCGGTGTTTCATGTTCTGAGGAGCTCTCACTACACAGCCAGATTCGGGAGCAAAACAGGGCTGGAGTGTATTGGGATGGAAGGGAGAGGTATCATTTTCAACAGTGACATCCTCCTCTGGAGAAAAGTGAGGACATATTTTTCTAAAGGTGAGGTACCTTACACAGAAAGTATAGTATTGTGGTGCCTTATTTCACCTCTCTATCTACACATATCTAATAAAAATAAGTCCAACCTTCGCAGATTGAAGTCTGCTAAAAGGTGAAACACAGCTTCATTGTATTTAAATTCCTGCAATGTTTCATGGTTGTTTTAAAGCTCTGACAGGCCCTGGCCTCCAGAGGACAGTTGGAATCTGTATGAGCTCCACAGCCAAACACCTGGACTGCCTGCAGGAGATGACCGACCCCTCGGGACACGTAGACGCACTCAATCTGCTGAGAGCCATTGTGGTGGATATCTCCAACAGGCTTTTTCTCAGGGTGCCCCTTAATGGTCAGCTGCATGTTTAATATCTGTACATTGTACACTGAAACTGTGTATTTTCTGCCAATAATTGTTTCCAGTTCTTGCACTGACACCTGCAGCACCGGATTCTGTTTTCAGAAAAGCACTTGCTGATGAAAATCCACAGCTACTTTGAGACCTGGCAAACAGTTCTAATAAAGCCAGATATTTTCTTCAAGATTGGATGGCTGTACAACAAGCACAAGAGAGCAGCGTAAGATCCCCACACATCACAGTAATTCATCTGGCTTGTGATTTCTTCAGCCTAATTTTGATTTGCTTTTGGTGACAACAGCCAAGAGCTGCAAGATGAGATGGAGAGCCTTCTGGAAATTAAAAGAAAGATTGTAAATGAGTCTGAGAAGTTGGATGACGATCTTGACTTTGCAACGGAGCTCATCTTTGCTCAGGTTTGTCTTTTTTGATAGATCTATACCAGCTGTGTCACAGAGTTCTGCATACCTTCATGTTCTTTGTTAACAGAATGTCGGAGAGCTTTCAGCAGATAACGTCAGGCAGTGCGTGCTGGAGATGGTGATCGCAGCACCCGACACACTTTCCATCAGCCTCTTCTTCATGCTGATGCTGCTGAAACAAAACCCAGACGTAGAGCTGAGGATAGTGGAGGAGATGAACACTGTCTTGAGTAAGTGCATTTGTGTGGTACTAATCTCAGTTTCTGACAGCTGTGACAGCTAAAAAAGAAATGATCAATAGAACGATCCATGACTGCTGCATTTTTATTTCCAGGTGAAAAAGGTGCTGAAGACATCGATTATCAAAGCTTGAAAGTGCTGGAAAGTTTCATAAATGAGTCTTTGAGGTTTCATCCTGTGGTTGATTTCACAATGCGAAAAGCTCTGGAAGATGACAACATCGAAGGCACTAAAATTACAAAAGGAACCAACATCATTCTCAATATTGGCCTTATGCATAAGACTGAATTCTTCCCAAAACCCAACGAGTTCAGCCTGACAAATTTTGACAAAACAGTAAGTCAGCTGAGTGTTGTGCAACATTATGTGGCTCTAGAAACAAAAAACAGGTTGGTCTTTACCTCCTCTGTTTGCCAGGTGCCCAGTCGTCACTTCCAGCCCTTCGGGTGCGGCCCTCGCGCCTGCGTGGGCAAACACATCGCCATGGTGATGATGAAGGCCATCCTAGTCGCTCTGTTGTCTCGTTACACTGTGTGTCCTCGCCAAGGCTGCACCCTCAACAGCATCAGGCAGACCAACAACCTGTCGCAGCAGCCCGTGGAGGACGAGCACAGCCTAGCCATGCGCTTTATCCCTCGAACAACGCAACCTCAACACAGTCAGCACTGAGACGGAGTGGTTACAAATTAGTGGAAACTACTATGTATTGCAACTGTTGAAGAATGTAACTGGTACAATGAATCCCTGGCCAGGATTGTACAAATATCCAAAAAGACCCTCACAATCTCTGGTACTCTGGGTTTTCATACTTCTTTATTTCTTAGTTTGTTTCAGAGAGCAAATAAACACAAAATTTCTGATGTCACAGGAGGATGTTTTGCCTACTTTTACATCCCTGATCTTTAGTGAATACAATAGGTTTAGACCAAGACTTTCTGGCCCATGGGATGCAGTATGGAAAACCAGGGTGAACATGGATAGAGATTTGGTTTTGTCTTGAAGTCATGAAATAATTACTATGGCAGTAAAATGATGTATGTCCTAATGTGGTG